GGGGGCGGGGCTGTCAGGGGGCAGGAGTGGGGAGAGGGATTGGAGCAGTCAGGGGACAGGGAGCAGAGGGGTTTAGATGCGTTGGGAGTTCTGGAGGGGCTGTCAGGGGGTGGGGAGTGGTTGGATGAGGTGTGGGAGTCCCGGGGTGTGTCTGGGGGTGGTGGTGTGGATAAGGGTTGGTGCAGTCAGGGTACAGGTAGGGGGTAGGGTCGTAGGGGGTAGGATCCTAGGGGGCCAGTTAGGATGGGGGGAGGGTCTCAGGAGGGGGCAGCCAGGGGACAAGAGGCAGGGAGGCTTAGGTAGGGGGTGGAGTCCTGGGGGGCAGTTAGGGGCAGGGGTCCCAGGAGGGGGCAGTCAGGGGACAAGGAGCAGGGGGAGGGATGTGGGTTCTGAGGGGGGCGGGAAGTGGGAGGGAGTGGAAGGGGCAGGGGCGGGGCTAGGGCAGGACGGGGGCGGGGCTAGGGTGGGGCTCCTCCCATCCTCTTTTTTGCTTGCTGAAATATGGTAACCCTAGTTGATGTACCCCCTGGAAGACCTCTGTGTACCCGTGGTTGAGAACCATTGCTCTAAAGAGTCCTGGAACGAGCCCTGTATCATTCCATATGTACCTTTATAGATTGTATGAAATGAAGCAGGGCTTTAATACTCACCTCTACATACCATATATATCCTCACAGATCATATGCCACATAAATTTGCACAGGATCTCACAGGGGGGAAGGATAGCTCAGTGGTTTGAGCATTGGCCTGCTAAACCCAGGGTTGTGAGTTCAATCCTTAAGGAGGCTGGTATTGCCACATGCACATTCCTCTGTGCCCCACTTGGGGTACACATCCCACTTTTTTGGCAAAAAAATGGGACAAACTTTTTTGGCAAGAGCAAATGGGACAAATGCACACTTTTACCAAAAAAGTCAGGACGGCCGGGACAGGGCTTAAAAAAGGGACAGTCCTGACCAAAACTGGACCTGTAGTCAATCTACTCATGGTTATTTAAAGTGGAGAAATTCTATGGACCATCATTTGTCTTTTCCTGGGTTTTAAAATGTTATGTGCTTTGAGATAGACTCCTCTGGTTAGGGAGGCAACCCCTCCCTGCCTAGTTGTCCAGCACCTTGTTGTGCGGTTGAATGTTGCAGCGCAAATTATGAGCACAATTTTCTATATACATAAATAAGCACAGTGTGTATACATATCTCACAATGACCACCAAGTTCAGAACACCACACACTATGACATGACTTGACATATTTGTACACACAACATTGTATGCAACCAATTGATTCAGTTGCTTATTTTGGGTTCAGACCTCCTGTTCTTCCCTTGGGGTGTCTGGACCCTGATTGTCACAAGTGCATTAAGTAATTTTTAAAACCTTTATGATTCAACCAATATCTGCATTTGTACAGCACTTTGCATAATAAGATCCTGGCCCACGACTAGGACTCATAGGCGTTATTGCAATACAAATAAATAAAAATAATAATAAAAAATAGGTTGTCACCAGACAGCTGTGACATAGTGAGCATACCCCTGGCAAATTTCAAGTTTCTATCACTTCCTATTAAAGCATAAGAGCTGTTAAACATTTGTAACAGTGTATTACTTTCTTCCTACTCAGAATTGGCTGAATGTCAGTGACTACAAAATAAAGCAGTATGTACTGCCACACTAGAATGCATTAGGAAAATGTCTTCGATTATCTAACAAAAAATATGTAAAGTGAATACCAACCTGCACAATATCCAAAACCATACCAGCAGAAACAGTTCCAAATCCTGCTAACAAAAATGGTACAAGAATCTGTAATGCCATAATACTGCTGGACTCCTTTGGCTGCTTTCTGCTCCTTTCCACAATGGCATCTTCATCACCATCACTAGACAAGTTGTCATCCTGCAATATGGCATCTGTTTCTGACGTGTCCATCCCATCACAATAATTATAACTGGCAAAGTCATCATACTTTGGACTACAGCTAGATGGACTGTGTCCATTACTACCATGAAAAGCTGGTTCTGAGAAGTGATGGTACTCCGTGTGTTGATCCGATCTAACATTAAAATTGTGTCCTGTGTGTTGTAATCCATCTTGCCACACACCATTCACTTTTTTATGTCGTTCTTCCTGCTTTTTGTGGTAAACAATTGGAACCATACTCAACAGCAGGTTGAGAAACTTGTCAGACTGAATTGTATTTAGATTTATAGTCCAATTTACAAAACTTTCTCCATCATAAGCTTTACCATTACCATTTATTTTGGCAGTGGTAGATCTTCCTTTACAGTTAGTCATAGTGTTTACGAAAATATTACGGGGAAGATCACTCTGTTCTTTAAACTTCAGTGAAGAAACACAGCAGATGAGTCAACAACAGCCACATAATCATTGATTTTAAAATCAAATAAATCAAAATGGTCACTCTGTTATGTAGAAAATGTTCTTTTCATGGATCTTAGATCTTGAGCAAATCCACAACTGAGTTTGGATCTGGAAAAAAAAATATTTCAGTAGTTTGATTGTGTGTATGTATCTATTATAAGTATTAAAACAAATAGAAAAGAAATATCATAACCAACATTCTCATGTTACTACTGTATCATCTAGGGCAGTATGCTGTGACATGAAGGAATTTGAATCCAGCTTGGTTCTTCATAGGCTGAGAAGCAGAGACAACTCATAACTCTTGATGGTGGGGGGGAGGCATGTGCCTGCCCCATGCATCACCTCTGGCCCCTTTCCCACTCCCCCTGCACCTCCCACACCTGGTCCAAGCCAGCATCACCTCGCCCCTACTCCCTCACAGCTCCTTCCCCACTTCTCCCATCGCCTCTCCACTGAAGGCATGGGCCAGAGTGGGCTCTGGACACCTACTACCAAGCAGGTAACTGTGGCTGCAGGCGAGGAAGGGACAGGACTCAAGGGCTTCCCCACACTCCCTCTGGCAGAGCTGTGCTGCCAGCCCCATCTCACTTCCCTGCTCTGGGTGCCTCACAGAGGGGCTCAGTGGGAGCACTAGGTGCAGGTGCCTTTCCCAAGCATGTCCCCCTCAGCTGCACTCAGCCCAACTCTCACCCTAGCAGAAATCTGGTGGGACATGTGACTCCACGTGCCTCCCTCTCACATGTGGCCTCTGACGAGAAAGAATAGGTTAGGAGCACTATAAGGATAAACCTCTAAATCAGGGGTAGGCAACCTATGGCATGCATGCCAAAGGCAGCACGCAAAGTGATTTTCAGTGGCACTCACACTGCCCTGGTCCTGGCCACCGGTCCGGGGGGCTCTGCATTTTAATTTAATTTTAAATGAAGCTTCTTAAACATTTTAAAAACCTTATTTACTTTACATACAACAATAGTTTAGTTATATATTATAGACTTATAGAAAGAAATCTTCTAAAAACGTTAAAATGTATTACTGGCAAGCAAAACCTTAAATCAGAGTGAACAAATGAAGGCACGCCACTTCTGAAAGGTTGCCGACTCTTGCTCTAAATTCTTGGATTGCATTGAACTGTTACTATAATGGTGCCTGGCTGAGTTGGGTGGGAAGCAGTCCTGCTGAAGGTTTGTGTCATCAGAAGAAGCTATGTCAACATCCTGGTGGAAAGATGAGCAGGGATATACCTGGTAGATGGCTTGTGCTGCACCTTGTACAAGAATGAATCTTTGGAAGAAGTGGGGTAACAAGAGTAGGAGAGGAGTTGGAGAAGAGGGAAAATGGCCAGCCCAGTGATTTAGTAGTGGGTCAAGGAACTATCATACAGGATAGTTTGCCTCACCTGGCCAAACATGGGATTGAGGAAGATCAGAGAGAAATAGCAGGGATCATCAGTGTTTGCAGGTCTCTCGGGAGGGAAATGATGCTGGGGAAAGTATGGATTTTTATAAAGCCACGAGGATAAACCCAAGTTCCTGACCTAGCTGTTCAGCCCATAAGGATCCTTACTTTCAGGTGGTAAGCCTCAAGACAACATTTTGATTTGGGGAGGCTTTAAATGCTCATTTAAAATCTGACTTACTGAAGTTACTATTAGCCAAACACACAGATTAAGATAGGTATAATTCAATGTTTGTATGCTCAATTAAGTGTATGCTACATATTTTCATAACGTTAGATGTACAGTATACGTATTATAAGAGAAGATCTTTTTAAAACAAGTTGCAGACTGCTTTGTTACAGTTTAACTGAACATATATGCCAGTAACAACAACTGGATCTAAAACAGAGCAACAATTTTAGTTCTGGTTTGCAGCTGAACAAACAGATATGCAAACAAATGTTGTTATGTTCAGAAGCAACATAAACCATTCTTTAGAGTGTAGTCATGGTCAGAAAAATAACTACAAATGTTACCAGTGTTATGCATCAACCAAACTGCAGCTACAGCTTGATTTTAGAATATGTATTGTTGATGATTAATGGCTTTGGGTACTATTACAATGGAAAGTCACTTCTGCAATCAAAGAGGCAATCTAGTTTTCTGATTAAAAAAAAACCTCCAGTAAGTGTACTTCACCATGCAGTTAATAAAAAATTAAGAGAAATGTTAACAATCCTATTCTACCTCCCAGCTCTCTTTTTTGAGGGGGTGAGGAACAGGGAAAAAAGAGAGAAGAAACTGACATCTCATGCCTCTTTTTCTCCATATTATTTCTCTTCAACTGTAAGATATTTACAAAGGAGGCAGCACATTTTACAGTTATATCTCCTTTCCCCTTACAAGTTCTATTACCAGCTCAGCTACTGACTTCTTGTCTAATCTTGACACATCACTAAGGCCAAAGTTTTGCCTAACTTGAAACACTTAGAGCCTTAGTCTCAGAGCTACTGAGCACCTGCACCTCTCACTAGCTACAACTGGAGTCAGACTCTTTTGAAAGTTTGGGCCTTAACATCTATGTACCTCAGTTACCCAATCTCTCAAATTGAAAGAATACTTACCTTTGTAAATCACTTAGAGATGCTCTCATGAAAGCTACTGCAGAAGTGCAAAATACAATCATAACCTCCAGCTGTAGCCAGAGCAGCCAGTACCCTCTGGGGACCTGAGTGCTGTGTCTCCCATAGCTTTGGGGACTCATATTTCTTTCTACTCAAAAAGCACTCATACAATATTCATACCAGCATTTCTATATTTGCACTTTTTAAGATTTGTTTAATCATCCATACCTATAATTATATAGTTAAAAAAAGATTAGTGCAATAACAAGTAACAGTGAAACCCAGAAAGAATCTCCAGCAGATACTGAGACAATCCTGGCATTTTGAATCTTGTTATTTTATTCACTGTAAATGAGTGGCAAATAATCATTGTATAATTTGAGGATAGTGGAAATTCTCTCAAATTACCAGATGATTTTCTAAATGACAACTGTAAACTTTACTTCAGGTTAGAACACAACTTAATTTTTTCTTCTAACTTCTAGTTCTAGCCTCACCAATAAACAGATTCTGCTGTTAGAATTTCGTTAACAATTCTGTTGATTATGTACAAGACATAAAAAAACAAAAAATTCAACTAACTCTCCAATATTGTAGTTGTAATGACTATGTAGTGTTAAAAGGAGTAAGAAAATATGGTTCAGAATACAAAAGGAAGCAGAGTAATTACAGGGATGTGATTTTTACATTGTAACTTTTCTGACATTGTTGACAACACAAAGGGATCAGTTACACATTTAATATATAAGCCATAAACCTGGCTACACTGAATTCCTTTAGACACTAACACGCATGACATCCCCCAATGAGGAATGCCAATGAGCTCAGCTAGTTCAACAGTATTTGAAACATTTACTTCCAAAACCCAGCATCTGCTCCTGATGAAGTTGAGAAAATTGTAGTTCATAAAAGTAAGAACCAAACTCCATGTTATAGCCCTACAGGTTAAAATAAGGTCACAGTGCAAATAGATGCTATTGAGGCCAGCACACCATTAGTAGAGTGAGCACTCAAACACAAGGTCATCGGCAGTCATATTATGACATGACACTTAGACATCCTTTGAGCCAAGATTACTTCACCCTTAAATGTTTCTCCAGAGCCCACAAATACTAACTTTCTAAACAGCTCTTAACATCAAAGGTATGTAAACTGATCTTTTCAGGATGATTATGGGGATTTGTCTAAAAGACAGGCAGTTGTACTGGCTAATCAAAATGAAAATCTGATACTACTTTTGTCAGAAATTTGGGATGGTGGGGGGCAAGACGGGCCTAAGTGCCACCTTGTCTTTGTGGAGTATAATATAAATTGGAAAGGCCAGCAGGGTCTGAAGCTCTAAAACCCACCTGGCTGAAATAATGGTCACCAGAAATGAGGCCTTCAGTGAGAAGTGCAAACTCTCAAGGGATATTCCATGAGTTTTGTTCATACCAAATGCAAGTCTCAAGGCTCACTAGACTGTCTCCCAGATGAGAGGATATGAGCTTGTAAACTTAAAAAAAAAAAAAATTAACCAGAGGTGCACTCCCCTCTCTCTGCCCCCACTCCCCCATTTTATAACCAGATTGAAGTTATACCTGGACATAACTGCCTCTCAAAGCCAGATATGTTCCTATGGATCCTTGGATCCAAACAAATTCAATTACTGGAACTCTATATCCCCAAGGGCCAAAGTCACCTTCTTAGCTGTAGATTTCTCACTTGCAACAGAAACTTTGAATGACCCTGAGGTAGAGAAATAATTTCAATTCCTCCATAGGAACCTGGAATAAGGAATCAGGTTTCCTGATCACAGAAACATCAGAGACCAGATGTTTCCAGAGTCTTTCTCCTACATATCCTGACTGTTAGAAAACAGCCCTTTCTCCCCAAGAGCTATTGAGTTCTATATATGCAGTTCTACAGCATCAAGACATTATGTCAATAACAGGGGGACAAAAACGATGTTTTTACAGAGTACAGGGAGGTGGGAGCAGATTGGATTTGTTGGGGTGTTTTATCAGGGGTGAGAGGGCAGGTCAGACTCAAATTTAGAACTCTCTCTCTAACAGATTCAAATCCTGCATCTTGGCAGAGGGTTAGACAAGACAACAACAGTTGAATCAGACACTTCAGTACCGAAGAAGAGCTGAGGTTCTGTGAGAAGAAATATTTTCACCTATCAACTGATGGTGTGCTGAAACTGCAGCCTATCATGATGACCAATATTGTCTCACTGTTTCTTTGTACTCCCTTGTCTGTCTGTATCCATCCGTTCTCTCATCTTATACTTAGACCATAAGCTCTGGGAGCAGGGAATGTATTTTTGTTCTGTATTTGTACAGCACCTAGCACAGTGGGGTCTTGGTCCATGATTACCTAGGTGCTAAGGTAGTAATAACAATAATATACTTGCTAATATACTCTGCTGTTTTTGTCGTGTCATCCATACTAAGCTGTACCCGTCACACCACATATGTAAAAATTTCTAGGCACTATAACTGGTTTCTGTGGTAATATTTGCAATTATATAATTATTACTACTGTGGCACCCAGGTAATCCT